TGCATTTACACACTGATTAATGCAGGACATGAATGCATTTAGCCTGCAGTTACACATGCATAAATAATATTTTAATATTGTAAACATAAAACGTTGAATACTTATATTTGAAACTTTAAATGTGAAATTAAAACCGCCAGTAGGTGTCAGCAAGTCACTGTTAATAAGTGAGTCATTGCGATTGAACAGAATCATTTAACGAATGATTCATTCAGGAACGAAACACCCTCATGTTGCTCAGAGACGCAAAACAGCGCTGTGACTGTGCTTGGAATTATTTTTGTTGGCGAAATAGAGCAAAAACAGGCAATAGTGTCTACGTTTTAGTGTCTAAAACGTAAGTCTCTTAATATTAATTTCTATGAAATGATGTAAAGGCCCCATATCTTGAATTTTGTGATGCATCATAATAGACTGAATCATGCCGTGAAAGAACGCACTATAAATGCGCACGCACACTAATCTAACCTAATAGACTTCACGTAATGTATGCGTGCACTCTCTGTAGGTGTGTTTTGTTTGGATTTTGCAATATACTCGATAATGTCAAACCGCACATCGTAAAACAACAATTGCGTAATGTGTAGATTCGGTGGCGAACGCTGTTACCTGCAAACTCCGTCCCACAGGCTTTACAGTGAATGCAGTGCATAGAACCATTTTCATAGCGGAGCCACTAGAAGTCTTTCAACCACTCTCTCCGAAAACTGTACGCCTTCTTTTCGGCTGGTGGATCAACATTCACCACATGATCGCCATCACCAGCACCGTTATTTGTAACTTTAGGTGGTTCACAAAAGAACTCTGTCAGTGTTTCTTTTTTTCTCTCTCTCTTCTTCAGCCTTTTTCATTCCCCGCGGTAGTTAGCTCCCTGTCACCTGACAGCGGAAAGCAGTAACTGGGTGACTGACAGCTAATGTTAACCAATCTAAAATCTGCATTAAAGTTAATAATGTAAAGATGAAGTTTAATTGGTTATGTAGCCTAACGTTTCATAGAACGGCAGACAGGTCACCGTATCAACACTCAGAAGGCACATACTCTGAACGTTTTTAGAGAAATTAAAACAGGTCGCACGACAACAATTATATGCACTCGCACAAATGCTCCCAAATATATTTTGAGGTCGCACAGATTAAATTTCGGGAGCATATGCAACTGTTAAACAAAGGAATTAAAATGTATACAAAAAGTATTATAACGATTGCTTTTATATTATTAGTAATAGAAAGGCAAACATTATAATACTTTCTCGTTTGCCGTCAGCATTATGCAAATACTCATTTACATCATTTAAACAAATCTTTGAACGGTTAATGAAAATTTACAAACTTAGTCGAATCCATTTGTGAGATCTTGTGAAGTGTGCATGTGACCTGCATGATCGCGTGTTCTCTGCGTGACTTTCGGTCCGTGAAAATTTAATGCTTTAAACATAAATTCGTGTTTTCAAATTATGCTGCACTTGCCCACTGTCATATTCATGTCATTTTCACTGTGTGCTGTATGTAAAATGAGTGCTGGGATGTCTTTTTCTATCAATTCTTCAATAGGTAGATCTTGTCTTTCATAAAGGCCAAGGTCAGGGATCTTGGGCCTAAAAAGGTTGGTGACCACTGCCGTAGAGGGTTGGTAATAGAAATTTACTCATCAGAAATGATCTCCTCCGATGCTGAAGCCGCACGTTGCATCTAGTGGCTTAAATATTAATTAAAATAAATACAATTATATCGGCTTTATATCGGCCATCGGCTTTCCCAAGATATCGGCATTGGCTGTCAAAAAAACAATATCGGTCGACCTCTAGTTGCATCGTGTATTATAACGATTGCTTTTATATTATTAGTAATAGAAAGGCAAACATTATAATACTTTCTCGTTTGCCGTCAGCATTATGCAAATACTCATTTACATCATTTAAACAAATCTTTGAACGGTTAATGAAAATTTACAAACTTAGTCGAATCCATTTGTGAGATCTTGTGAAGTGTGCATGTGACCTGCATGATCGCGTGAAAGTATGTTTATTTTACAAAATTATTTTTTAATACATTTTCAAATGATTTCAAATTTCTTAAATATTAATTAAAATAAATACAATTATATCGGCTTTATATCGGCCATCGGCTTTCCCAAGATATCGGCATTGGCTGTCAAAAAAACAATATCGGTCGACCTCTAGTTGCATCGTGTTCTTCTTCTGAGGTAAATTCTGGCTTATTCCTCTCAGCGCATCTTCTTCCAGAAACGAAGAGTATTCTAGATGAACTTGAATCTTCAGGCTTTGTTTACGGAGGTGATGTGGGCGTTTACAGGTTCGCACGTCTCACGTGGATGATTACCGTATGAATAGCGAGGGTGTGATCACATTACAGATAATGAGCTGGACCTCGCGATGGTTTCATACAGATTACTTTATCAGAGAATATTTGATTTAGATAATACTAACTTCATTTAAAAGTAGACACTTCAAGCTTTCTATAGATAGCTATATCTCTCATGTCTGTGTGTGTCAAGTATTCACTGAGTTTTTGTTCATTTTTGTGATGCATTTCAGAAAGAAGTTCACGGAGACTGAGATGGCAGAAAGCGCACCCTCAGAGTTCCTACATTTTCCATCTAAAAATTCCATACTTTTCAGGACTCAAATTTCCAAACCTCTCAGTAGATTTTCAGACCATATTTAACAAATGGTTCGTAGAGCATTATTTTCAGCTTTATATTTGGTAAATAGTGCAGTCATCTGTAAATATTTTTATTTTCTCATGGGTTTATTTATTGATTTTCTCGAAGTGACAACATTCAGAGCCCCTAAAAAAATACAAATAAAAAAAATACAGACTTTTGCACGCACACAAGATACTTTTTTGTGCCTTCAAGAAACTATTGACATGTACATGGGAATTTTTTGTGTGTTTACGAATTACAATTTCTAGTTTTATATATATACTATAATATATTTCCGTTGTGCATCACTGCCATCTTACTACAAAGGAAATTAGAGAATTGATGCACATTAATTAAGAGATATATTTGCTCAAAATTTGGCTTTTCTTAGGGTAGTATCTCTAATATCACGGCCAAATGTCCAATTTAATGCATCCTCTGTGGCGGCGGAGAAACAACATGAAATGGGCTAATGGCACAATACGGTTGTGTGCATTGTCCTATGTGCCAAGTTCAAGGGTCTATAAAAAAGACTGGTACTGTAAAAAAAAAGTGTTAAAAATTTGGCTCTCTAGGGCAGTACGTCATTTCAAGGCCTTAAGTCTGCTTTAGCGCATACTCTGTGGCGGCCAAAAAACCTCACAGTGAAATGGGCTGATGGCACAATAAGTGGCTCAGTGTGCATTGTCCTACATGTTAAGTTTAATGGTTTCTTGTGCGCACACGAAAGTCAGCATATTTTTTTATTTTTGCAAAAATCCTTTTAGAGGCTCTGTAATATGGTGCTAAGAATATAGTGAGAAGAAACCCAAAACGCATATAACCTGCATTTTTGCATAATAAAATGCCCCAGGTTGTTAACCTACTGTAATCAGGTTGTGATACTAGATAAACTTTGTTGTCCTCTTACCCCAAGAAGGTCTCTGCCATCTTCATCCAGGGGTGGCACCACTTTAGACAGGTCCTGTCGTGCCCACTTAGGAAAGGAGGGTTTGTAGTCTGGCATTGAGGTGACTCCAGGCCATATAGATTCATCCGGAGTGCCCAGTGTCCGAAATATTCGGAAGAGCTGGTCTATTTCAGAGTCTCCAGGAAACAAAGCCCTCCGAGTGATCTGGTATGAAAAGCCATAAAGTGTTTTAAAAGTAAAAGAACATAATAAGCAATCAATAATAGCAAGATGATATGTACATTCAAACAAATAAATACCATTTCAGCAAAGATACAGCCCAAACTCCAGATGTCAACAGCTGTAGAATAATATTTGCATCCTAGGAGAATCTCTGGAGCTCTGTACCACAAAGTTACAACCTATGGAAAAAAAGATAAAATTGCAGCTGTTAAAGATCAATTCTGCATATCATCTGCAGTAGCTTGTCTGCATGGTCATCCACACACAAAATTGGTTACCAATAGCAATTAATTAATAATTAACAATTGAATTTTACACTTACAAGATATAGGAGTTATAAAGGATTTTAGAATATAATTTGAATTCTTAATAGTACTCTATGTTGCTTCAGGCAAGCAAACATGATGGGGGAATTTGCCCTTTTATTTGAGAGGAGAGGTGGGGGTCATATTTTACACACATTTTTTTAAAATAAAAATTATTTAATCTAAATGTTTGATCACTTATTATTTGTGTTTTTACAATTCATGCAAATATGTGCTGAATATTTATATTGCTAGGAAGATACAGATATTTGAAAGCATACTTCTTGGATGCTAGATGGTGCTATAGGGTTAATTTAGTTGTGCCTTTATACTATGAAAAGTGGTTTTATTTCAAACTCTGAAATCACATTTATTTATTTAAATAATGAAACTAGAATGACATGCAGTCAGATAACATTTTGTGTTGTCTACCTAATCTCACCAACAGGCTAAATAGATTTTTACTCTTGGCTTCTGAATGTGGCAGATTGATGGCAGTCTGAGCTTTCTATGGGTGAGGAAGATTAGAATAAACTATAACAATTATAAAATTACTTAATTTTTCTTTGTAGATCACATATTGCAAAGTCCTGCCTATTCAAAAGTTCATTCAGTCATCAAATAAATAACCCAGGCTTCCAGGCAGTACAAAATACAGCGAAATACAGCGATTGAAAGTTCAATAAATAATCAGATGTACGGTGTACAAGTGTGAATTATACAAAAACAGCTCAGAAGTTAACTATAGTAGGATAAACTGCTCTATAAATGGGAGGTCATAGCAAGTACAATTTTGTATTCCCTTTTGCTCCACTTTGTAACACTTTATTTTAAAGGCCCAATTCTCACTATTAATTAGTTGCTTATTAGCATGTATATTAGCATGTATCTTTTTGGCTGTTTATTAGTACTTATAAAGCACATACTAATTCTTTATTCTGCATGACTATATTGGGTCATATGAGATTAAATTACAATATTTGTTGACAATTGTTTGTCAATGTTGTCGATAATGTCGACTAATAGTTTCAGCCCTAAAATATACTGTTGAAAAAAACAGCATCAGTCTGGTTTCTATATTTCAGCAGTATACACACCGCTACAGCTAAAAGCAGTCTACACTGGACACGACAAAGCGAACTTTGCAAATCCATTTGTCCTTTGTGTGTGTGTGTGTGTGTGTGTGTGTGTGTATGTATGCAAGAGTCTTATGCCATTAGTACTTTCATCAACAAAAAATGTCCAGAAGAACCATGGCAACATCTCCAAGACAACTGAAGAATCCTTCCTGCAAAGCTACAGTGAAACATTTTAGGCACTTGTGTAAAAATGCTCTAAAGCAAGGATGCTTTCAAAACTAATGTCATAAATACATTATTTATCAATTAACTTATGTTAACTAAATCAAATCATTTGATGTGAGCACCCTTTGCGTTTAAAACAGCTTTTGTCCTTGGTACACATCAGTGTTGCCAAGTCCGCGGTTTTCCCCGCGGAATTGGGCTACTTTAACACTGTAACACCAATAACATGATATTTAGCCCCCAAAATGTGAATTTTACTAGAGGAACCCCACCAAAAACGTGTATTTTACCCCACCGGAATGTGATTTTTACAGGGGGATCCCCTTCGAAACGTGATTGGGCTAGTTTTGAGTAGCAATTGGGCGGGCTTTGTTGTGAAAACCTGGCAACCCTGGTACACATGCACATAGTTTTTCAGGTAGCTTTGCAGGAAGGTTTCTTTAAAGTGTCTTGGAGACATATACCCTATTCAGATGGTAATTGTTTATCAGGGGAATGTAAGGGGTTTTCACCATTTACAGGAGGTAGTCGGTGATTTTATTGCCGTCTGAATCCAAAATGTCTGTGTTTTTCTCCGACCACCCCCATAAAAATCCCCTGCTGAATTACCTACTGTTTAGACAAACACCAAGGTCGTGTGGTGATTTAATTACCGTCCAAATCCACATCTTTGAGTTTACAAAAAGAAATCAATACAAAATTCACTGTTTAAATCCTTTTAGTCCACTGCAGAGCACCGTATGATAGGTGTTGAGCTTCGCTTCACCACAGCGGCTGGAAGATGTTAAGAACAAAAAGGAGAAAAAGAAATAAAAGCACATTACATTTAAAATGGGCCGTTATTCTGGTAGCAACAGGTGTGCATTACCATTTTAACCCCTTAACTGTCAGTAGTGTTAATTTCGTTAACGAAGACTATGACGAAAAATGTTCGTTGACGACCTTTTTTCCCATGACTAAGACGAGACGAAGACGAGATGACAATAAGGTCAATAAACGATAACTAAGACTATATCAACATGCAATTTCGTTGACGAAATAAGACGAGACTAAAATGTATTCAAAAAGATAAAAACTTGACCAAAAACCTCTTTTTATTTTCGTCAGAAAAAGGAGACCAAATGTTATTGCAGACTGCTCTACATGCCTCGACTACGCGAGCTTTCATGAGTGTGATCCGAGTCCCTGAGTCCCCAAATTAGAGCTTCGCTCTTAAATTCATAAATTTTCTGCCCGGTGTGTTTTGCTTATTTTAAGCAATCTGGCAACCATGCGCACGCGCACGCTCCTCATTGCGGAAGCGCCGTCGCAGATGATCTGAAAAACAAGCTGGAGTTTAGCGATCTAAATGAAAGCGTCATTCAGCCGGTCAGTGTTCTGTCATTAGATCTCGACTGTATTGTTCCGATTGTGACCGCTGAATAAATACACTTAGCCTACTCAATCGCTGTTCTTTTAATAGAGAAATAGACTATTGCAATTATGGAATTAGTGGAATTACTAGGAATTTCACTGTTATAATATTTTTTCGTTTGTTTTAGCTGTTTTCATAATGTAGACAGAGAGATTGCATAAGTCTTTGGTGTTG